AAGAATGGGGACATTGGTGGATAAAGATATACTCCCTCCGTCCCAAAAAGAACGACCCATTTGGGTTGATTACGCGAGTATTAAGGAAGTTAAGTAAAAAGAAGTAAAAGTATATTGGAAAGATAAATTTACATGGGGTTTGTAAAAAAATAGAGAGAGAAAGTAATAAAATAACATGGAAAATGAAATTTTTATATGGGGAAGCTAATTTTGCACAAATATTGTTGCAAATTGATGGTGTTTTAATGCAAATGGGTCATTTTTTTGGGACAAAGTTTTGGCCAAATGGGTCGTTCTTTTTGGGACGGAGGGAGTATTATTAAATTGTAAGAGATTTCCAAAAATGGAACTCTAACTTATTAAAAAAACGAAAATAGTAACTCTAGTTAAAAAAAATAAAAATATATATGTTTTCAGTTGCAAATTTTTATCTTTTATCAATATAATAAGATAGCTTTGACTATATTGATTTGATTATTATTATTATTATTATTATTATTATTATTATTATTATTATTATTATTATTATTATTATTATTATTATTATTATTATATAGCAAAATAATGATTAAACTCAATGTATAGTTTCAAATAAACCATTTTGCTTATTAAAGATGTGGTAAAATTAATCTATACAATATGTTAATAAGTGCAATTGTCAATTGTGCAAAACTAAGAATATTATGATCGATTATAATTAAATAAAAAAATGGAAAAAATATTACTTGTAGTTGCTTTTCAACAAAATAGTATTTAGTATCTTTAACCCATAGTTTTATTATTCATCGAAATAATCAACATAATTCCTACTTATCTTTTTTTTCCTCTTCTTGATTTTCCTGAATTTTGCTTTTTATTTTTTTAAGAAAAAATTTTACATTTCAGTTGAAACCAACCCACAAATATATATATATATATATATATATATATATATATATATATATATATATATATATATATATATATATATATATAAAGCTAAACTTTTAGGCAGGTGACGAGACAGCGACACTTGGCGTTCCAACTTTTTGCCAAGTGTCGTGCCACGTATGATAGAGTTATATAAAATTCAATTTGTAGGATAAAAAAGTTAGTTTAGCGTTTTATTTTCAATCAACTTTGGATATAATTTTAGGATAAAATTGTTAATTTAGAGTTTTATTTTTGATAAAGTACCAATATTTCATATGTAAAAATTGAATTATAATTTTATTCAAAAAATAATTAGATTATAACTCTCATAAATTATCATATAAATTTATTTTTTGTATCATAATATTTTTTTAGAGCGAAGGAATTAGTTCAAAATGTACCACATCCATGGGTTATAATATATTCTAATCAATTAAAATAATATACTTCACAATCTAATATAATTTTATTATTGTGTGTAGACCTGTTAATCAGGTCGGGTCACGAGTCATTTTAGACAAGTCAAGAAATGTTTTTCACCAATATTATTATTATTAGTCATTACATGTCTACAAGTTTAAATCGTTACAAAAATACGTCAATTGCTAACTAATTTTATATCAATGATATATTTTAAAATTTGATATATAGATTAAACAACCCGGACATCGCACACACACATTTTCATTTGTGTCACTTGGGTACTAAACTTCATTATATAAATTCAATAACACAAAATAAAATAATGGTTTATTCTTTCTCTAACTCTACCTTTTCCCTCTTTCACCCTTAATCTATAATTTATATGAAATAATTAATAAAAAAAAGTATTGTCAAGATGTATACAAACTTCATAAAATAATAAAGGCGATATTGAATTCAAGGGAGCAATTAAAGGTATATTTTATGTAATTTATTTACAGTTTTTTTTTATAACAAATTTAGAGGAAAAAAGGAATGTAATTTAGGGACAAAGGGAGTGCTAAAGAGTGATTTCCATGGATAATCTAAGAAGAGAACAAAATTCCATAAATATGCTACATGTTAATAAAATTCTCGATGTATCTAGACCTATCAAAGCTGACTTGACCCGAAAAATCGACCCAAATCCAATCATTAAGCGATCCGTTTGAACCCAAAAAAATGGTGATCCGATCCGAAACCAACTCTAGACCCCAGTGGATCCGAGAATTTGAGACCCGAACCGAACATCAACGGACTTGGAGATGACACGACTTGAATATAATCCATGAAATATTGACCTGAACCAAAACCGACCTGAATCGAAATTGACCTAACCCGTTTAACCCGTCAAACTCGAATGTAACCCAACCCATTACTAACCCACCCCGAATTTAACCCGACTTGTTACAAAATCGATTCGAATTTAAACCGACCTGTTATTAACCCGACCCGATTAGATTATTTCTCTTACAATAAATGAAGAAATTGATAATGGTTATACGTAAACGTCATTACATACATGAATTGTTAACAAATTGACGTGAAAAATGTACCCGAACTCGATATGACTTAACCTGAAATCGACCCAAAACCAAGATTAACCCAATCTTTGAGACACGAACCCGAACACGACCCGACTTAGAAATGACCCGACGTGAATAGATTCTGCAAATTTTTTACTTGAATTGAACTCAACTAGAACCCGAGTATGGCTCGATCGACTTGATTATAATATGCAAATTATTAACTTCAACTGAACTCGATTTGAACCCGAAAATGACTCGACTTGGAAATGACCCAACTTAATTATAACCCGCAAAATTTTTACTTCAAGCGAACCCAACTCGAACAGTTCGACCTAAGAATTACCTGCAAATTATTGACTTCAACCGAACTGACTCATACCCTAGAATGACCCTGACTCGTTTTAACCTGTGCAAACCTGAATTAAACCCAACCTATTATTCACCCGACCCGAATGTAACCCAACCTATTATTGACTTGACCTAAACCTGACCCAAAACTGATAAGATGTATGACTTAACGTGATCCAATTCAAGCATGACCCAACCCGAATCCGACCCACATAAATTACGACTTAATCCAGATTGACCCGACTCGAGTTGTTAAATCGCTAATTTAATTGACCAACAAATATCATCTTCATAAAGCCAAATTTCAAAAACAAATTTAATAGGCATGATGATGAGGGAATAAACGAAACAAATGTAATAAATATGTAAATATTTTGTATATTATATTCTCTAGTCAAAGGATATATTTAGTCCCTAAATATATGCCTCTAGTTACGTCTATGGTTTAGGCTTGTACATTGTATATACTCTGACTTGGTTAATGAAATTAGTCAAGGAAAATATTTACATATTTAACACCTGACAACAAATATTAAACAATTTCCCTTTTTTTTAAAAAAAAAAACCAAACAAAAAAAAAAACAAACATTATTGCATTTTAGAAAGTCTATTAATTTTCTAATAAGGGCTACATATATCATTATAGGTTACGGAGTATTAAATTTACTTTTAGGTAATACATCAATTATTAACTTTAAAATCTTTTCTTAAATGTGTAATAATCAACCTTTGATATACTAACCATTGATTCCCTTCAAAAGTTCAAATAACTATTGATAAATTTACTTTCAAAAGTTCAAATAACCTTTGATATACTAACCATTGATTCCCTTCAAAAGTTCAAATAACCATTGATAATTAGTTATAGAATTACATGAAATAAGTGGATGAAAACTCAAAGCAAGATTATATACGGTACAATGGCCATTACATAGTATCAAAATAATTTATACATGAATAAACACTCAACTATCACAATATTAGTGGAACCAAAAACTATACAATAATGATAAACAATATACTATCAATCACTGATTTTAAATTAGTTTCTTTACAGTTACCCATTACATAGTATCAAAACACCGATTTCTATAGGGTTTTGGATCGGATCGGATCGAAGATTGGGAAAATAAATTTCTAGTCCCAATGACAGACTGATTAATTCGATTAGGGGTCGGTCCGAGGTGATCCATTTCATTTTTTCAGTTTGGACCGATGTATGAACACCCCTGACTACAACTATACGGGTCACCCGACGGAATTGGTTTGACGAAATCAAAATTGTCAAAAATTTCAGGGGGTGTTTGTTTAGGGGGATAATAAGGGAGGTATAAGGATAAATGATGAGGAAAGAAGAAAAGTAATGTTTATTTAGAGGAATGAGAACTAAAAGGGGTTGACGATAGGGATTAAAATACCCCCTTATTCCTACATTTCTATAACTAAAGGGGGCGGTATAAAGGGAAGGGATAAAAAAAAGCTAAAAATACTAAATTACCCTTAATGAAATTGAAAGGATAAGAGAAAGGATAGAAGTTAGTAATGGTATTTTTATAATTTTACTACTTATCTCTAATTTATTTTCCATACTTACTAAACATGAGATAAGGATTATCCTTCTTCCTTATCCCCCTTATTCCTATCCTTCCAACCAAACGCCCAGTCAGTAAAGATCTTCAACACCTTACGTTTACGCGAGGAAGTAAAAATGGAGGGTTGTGAGACAAATGCAAATGTCTCACAACCATTAAAATAACATAAAAGTAAAAGGAGGAGAGAGATAGGAAGAGTGAAAAAGGTGGTGTGGGGCCCACTAAAACTTTTCAGAATTGGTTTTACGTGCAAAAACGACAAAAAAAATTAGGACCACAGCTACTGAGAATATATTTTGTACTACTGAGGATTTTTATAAGTACCACTAAAACCGCATTGAGTACCACTGGGAGTGCATTTTGTACCACTGAGTTGTAATGGTATTATTTGATAGCCTAATTAGACATTTAAAACTTTTTTTAAATACCACTAAAATTATATTTTGTACCACTGAAAGTGTATTTTATACCACTGAATTTAAAATGGCAAAATTTAAATCCTGCATGAAATGACCAATCTACCCCTGCGAGACACTTCTAAATCTCTCTCAACCCTCCGTTTATATAGCCTCCGTTTACGCGCCTCAAAACACAAACGACTCACGAGGCCACGAAGCAGCAGCACGCCATATAATAAATTTTTGGCGTAACGTGGTCTCCCATCCTTCCTAACTGGCCAATTTTATGGTTTACATCAATTTGCCTGTCCCTAACATTGTGACTGATTATCGTCCAAAACTCCATGAATTATTGAATATCCACTGCGTTTCAATTTCCTAAACTAGTCATTTTCAGTTAAATCTTGAATCTTTCTTCCAATCCCATAATCTTTTTCTTAGATTTTCTCTCTCCTCCATCTCCAAAAACTTCAAGCAATGGAGCGTTCTGGTTATGGCAGAGATGGTATTTACAGGTCATTAAGACCTCAAATAATGGTACCCAAAAATCCAAATCTAAGTATGGTTTCTTTTCTCTTCAGAGATATTTCTTCTTTATCTGAAAAACCTGCTTTGATTGACTCTGATTCTGGGGAAACCTTGAATTTTTCCCAGTTGAAATCCATGGTTTCTAAGGTTTCTCATGGATTAACCCAACTGGGTATTCGAAAAGGGCAAGCTGTTCTTATTCTTGCTCCAAATTCAATTTATTACCCTGTAATTTTTCTGGGTATTGTTGCAATTGGTGCAGTTGCTACTACTGTGAATCCTGTTTATACAGTTTCAGAGATAAAGAAACAGATTGATGATTGTAATCCCAAATTGGTTGTTACAGTCCCTGAATTTTGGGATAAACTTAAGGGTTTTAATTTGCCTGCTTTGATTTTAGGGTCTAAAGAAAATGGGATTTTAAATTCAAGCTCTAAAGTTGTTTATTTCAATGATTTGGTTAATGGGTCTGCTGTGGATTTTCCAAAGGTTGTGATAAAACAAAGTGACACTGCTGCACTGTTGTATTCATCTGGTACTACTGGTGTTAGTAAAGGTGTGATACTAACTCATGGGAATTTCATTTCTGCCTCATTGATGGTATCAAGTGATCAAAAACTCGAGGGCGAATTGGATGAAGTGTTCTTGTGTGTGATCCCAATGTTTCATGTGTTTGGGCTGTCTGTGGTTTTGTATGGTCAATTGCAGATGGGTAATGCTGTTGTTAGTATGGCCAAATTCGATTTCGAGTTGATGTTGAGAGCTATTGAGAAGTATAGGGTTACTAAATTGTGGATTGTTCCACCAATTGTGCTTGCATTGGCTAAGCATAATGCTGTTAAGAAGTATGATCTGTCATCTTTGAAGCAGATTGGTTCCGGGGCCGCGCCTTTGGGGAAGGAGATGATGCAGGAGTGTTCTAAAGTTGTGCCTCAGGCTGCCATAATGCAGGTATAATTTCTTAGAAACTAATTTCCCTTTGATATTTTTATGCAATTGTTTATGATGTTTTATGTCACATACTAAACATGGTTAATTAACAGTTCTAAATTGCCTGCTCATTTTTTTAATGGCCTTAGTAGAGGTGTGAATAAGGAGGCTATTACTTTTAAATACTCTGCAGATACAGAACTATTATTAATTTAACAATCGTTATTATTTTATTCCATTACCAATTTGTTTATTTTCCCTACAACAATATTAACAACTCAGAATCTATGACTTCACAAAATTGTTTTGACTCTGGTTTTCTTGGAAACAGTTTTTGTGTATATCGAATTATCGATCTCTAGCGTTGGATACCGTTAAGGCATTAATCCCCAGGATAACTTTGCAGTTAGCATATTATGTTGCCCTTTTCATAAAGAAAGCTCATATCTGATGGAGTTTTTATTGTGGCTATAATTTAGACTCAAAATTTGGAACTGGAGTATCTATTTTAGCTTGTTACCTATTGATGGAATTGTCCAATAATGCTTTATCGATGTACTTTTGTTCGTGTCGTGATTAGTGTCTGCTGTTTTGGAGACATAGTTATTTCTAATTGATACAATTGGTAGAGCTACTTCTCTGATGAAGAGTTACATTATACTTTCAGGGGTATGGTATGACAGAAACATGTGGAATCATCTCTGTAGAACACCCAAGACTAGGGGGTCGACATTCTGGTTCAACTGGAATGTTAGCTGCAAGTGTTGAAGCTCAGATAATTGATGTAGATACATTAAAGCATCATCCTCCAAAGCAACTGGGTGAAATATGGGTCCGTGGGCCTAATATGATGAAAGGTGATTATTAGTTCTGTGCTGCATATGTTAAATGTTTTCCCTTTGGAAAAAAGCAAACTTTTGTGTGTACTTTGTCCTCATAATATTCCATTGAGTGGACGAAGATTCTTTTATTTCAAAGCATCAGTAAGCATCTTTAATCCAGATCTTTTTGTTTAATCCTAGGAAAGTAACTATCATGTCCACAGAATTGTGTGATTTAATTTTGGAACCTATTACTGATAACAAAGCAATCTAATCCTTTTGAACCAGCATTTTTCTGAAAGCTAAAAAAAGCATATTCATAGTCTAAGCCTTCTGCTTGAATAGCTTTACATGAATCTTTAATTGCTTAAACATCAAAATGTACGCTTAAGGTCAAAGAGTTGAAAGAAGCGAAGCTTAAAATGTGCTGGATTTTTGGAACCAACCTATTTCATAAAGTGCAGTGGTGGACAAAGTACACTTTTACAATTTTTTAAAATTTTTATCTGGTTGCAAATGCATCAATAATAATGCAATAAAAACGTCTTGGCCTTCTGTTTTCTCCTGTAGCTTTTACTGAACATCATTATAGACCAACTATATTTTTGTTTTGTTTTTGACTGAGCATAATAAACCAATTTTAAAAGACTTAAGAGTGACTTCTCTGGTCTCGGTTACTTCTTCCGATTAAAAAAATTGCCTTTTTGTTGAAACAATTGTACTGTGCTTTATATTTTGGCTATAGGTGACCAACTTAATAGAGTATTTGATATAATTTCAATGTGCAGGCTACTTAAATAATCCACAAGCCACCAAATCGACTATTGATAGTCAAGGCTGGGTACATACAGGAGATCTTGGGTACTTTGATGAGGAAGGGCAACTTTATGTGGTTGATAGACTGAAAGAGCTCATCAAATACAAGGGTTTTCAGGTATTAATTCTTTTATGATCCTCACTGAAATATTTGCATAATTATTATGCTGTATTTATGTCTTATATCCATGTTTGTTTCCCTAGAAGATGAGAGGATAGCTAAAAATACTGTATGTATTTCTAGAATTTATTGTCGTAATAGTTATCGCATACGATTCTTGTGTTTTTTGCCTGGATAATTGGACAAAACAGGTACTAAGGTACTTTAACAGCCTTTGGTTAAATTAATTACCTACTGCATTTCCCTTGTTTTATAAATAGTAATTTATTATTGAAAGACACACATCACTAATCATCCTCAACGCTAATGACAATGGGAATTTTGACCTTAAGCCTTAAAGTTCTGCAATTCCCTCGTTTTGTTTATGATCATCCATGCAAAAACACTCAAAAATTTGTAGATCACTTCAGTAAATATCAGAAGTAAATACCTTGCGATCTTATATCTTCTGTGGACGGTCCTATTAACTTAGTTATCAGTGTCATATGAAGGTGTACTGATGCAAAGTATATACTTTCTCTTCCTTAGCAGGCATATAATAATTTATTCAAATTATGCAGTTGTTCTTGGCTCTTAAAATACATTATTCATGAAGCATTCTGTTGTAAGCCAAAAATGAAAAATAAAAATAAAAATAAAAAATCATTCAAATCATGATTATGTGGTCAAGAGCTCAAAGCTCTTTTCTGTTTTTCTGTAGCTTTAATTTGTTTGATTTTTGATTAAGTAGTGTTTCTCTTTTGGAGACCACATTCTGGAGAGATCTACTGATTCCTGCAGTATTAAAAACTTGAAACAACAAAATAATTTTCATAAGGCTAAACATCGATTAGAAGAAGAAGAAAAAAAAAAAACAGATTTAGCTATTGCTCATATTTACCCAAGGTTGTTTTCTGGAAGACATGTTTGGCTCAATGAAAGCTTCAAATTATACTTAAAATAATTGACATAGAGTATGTTTTCCTTGTTTATTACAATTAGGTTGCACCAGCAGAACTTGAAGCAGTTCTTCTTTCACATCCTGAAGTACTAGATGCTGCTGTCATCCCGTAAGCTTCTATAACTAAGCACCCTGTCCCTCATATACCCTTTTTAGAGCTTAGGCTTTAGGTCAGGTGTTTAACTTTATTGACAATCTATACTTTCGTGATTATTAGATTTCCTGATGATGAAGCCGGTGAAGTTCCTATTGCATATGTGGTTCGAGGACCCAATAGTTCTTTACAGGAAGAAGATGTCAAGAAGTTTGTCGCTGATCAGGTAGATAACAAAATGCATGAACACTTGTTTTTCTCAACTCTTTGTACGTAATTCCTTTTCAGAGAGGTTGTGGTCTGTCTAGGATTGTTAGAAACAACTTGAATGCAATCTTATGGATATCTTTATCAATAACTCTCTTTTTCTACAGGTTGCACCTTACAAGAGATTAAGGAAAGTAACATTTTTAAGTGCCATCCCAAAGTCAGCTTCAGGAAAGCTTCTCAGACGAGAGCTCGTTGAAAAATCACGATCCAAGCTGTAAATCCATATTGTTGCATCTGTTCTTTCTCGTTCTCTGGGATGCAGTTCATGTTTTAGCTGAAACAAGAATGCAACATTACAGTTATAGAATTACTAAAACATATACATTCACATAATGGTTAGATTACCTAAAGCTGTAAACATCATCGTTGAAATTGTATATTTGCTCTATAAATTCTTTTCTTTTCGGGTTGAAATAATGAAATCTATCCTGTTTCTAGGACTCAAGGTTTCTTATTGATGTTGTTTGCTTAGTTTTAGAAAACATTTTCTTTGTACATGTATAAACAAAGTCAACTTCCTTGTATGTAATCTGTTGACCAGGAAATAAAAAACATGTTTTCTATATCTATCCTCTACAATCTGCTCACAAATTGTGTATGCTGAAAGTTCATTCCTGTTACTGTGTTGTTAAAAATATAGGCTCCAATTTTTCTCTATTTTTTGTGGCTTTCCTTTTCTTTTTAGTTAATTAGTATGAATATTTGTGAATTTATGAATCAAAGATAAAGATTTTATAAAAGGAGAATGTGAATCTAATATAATCTGTATTGGGATTACCAAACAAGTATTCCTTCATAAGAAGCAAAGGCTTGATTAGCTTATATCTCATCCATGTATATTTACCAATGAAGTCTAGGCCTAGTGGTTAAGATTGAGAGCATGTTACGATAGGCCATATGTTCAAATCCCCTCAGGGTATTAGTGATCATCTTCATTCCTCGAGCTTCTGAGTAAGTGCTGGAAAGAGGGCAACAAGTAGCTCTATGAGTCTATGGTACTTCAAAAAGTCGAACAGGATGGCCTTTATATTGTTTTGGTAATGAACACTATAGACAGACACCTTGCAAGGGCAACAATGTTCACCGGCAAAAAAAGAATTTAGCTGAACCCCTCTTCAAATCGAGGCCTAAGTAGTAAGTACCGATGGCAAGTAGCTAGAGGGTAACCGTGCTCAGAATTTATTGACAACAAACGAACCCATGGAGAGATCACGAAGGCTCTTCAAATGTGACATTGTAGCGTTTGTAACTTGTAAGTAGAATAACATCATGACATGGAGAAGTACACTTGCTAAGCAAAATACACATATTGTGTCCATCATATATAGAGGCTATGTTTGGCAACGGGTTCATGACTGTACAGAAGTGATATCATCGGCGGAGCAGTAGGGCATGGCTAACTGCAAGCACAAGTAACTGATCATATTTGCTTAGCATCTACACTTAACTTTGAAATTTTCTGGCAAAAATTCTGGCCTTTGTATTGACTAGTATGCTTGGTTTGAACTTTGAAGGGGTTGACTATGTCACACATTTGCTCAACAATCTTTGATACTTCGTTGCAATTTGACGGTTTAAGAGTATAACTCAGTCATAAAAATAAAAAAATAAAAAAATAAATAAAACAAATAAAAAAAAATCATATTTGATCAATGAATCATCTAGGTGTTTTAAGTTTCATAAGTTGCAATCATAGAGTTAAGCTAAAATACTGTTTCTCAACTTTAGTATTTAGAGCAATTTGATCCCTCATCTTTCAAATGAAGCAAATGGATCCCTCTACCACCCTTACCTGACTTTTCGGATGGGAAAAAAAAAAGATAAGTCACCATAGCTAAGGGACTAAATTGCCCATGTGGAAAAAATTTAAATATTTTTTTTTACAAATTTAGGGATCTTTTGAGTATGAGTTGGCATTTAATTAATAGAGAAAGATAGTTTAGGGACTACTAGACTTAGGTGGCGTATGTCATGATTACATATTGAAGTTTAGGGATTGAGGGGTACACGTGCCACAACGAATAACCACATAATCAAAACGAAGCGTTTGGGGTTCTCCATTTCCCAAATACGAGTGAGTTCTTTGGCGGGATAATCAGAGGGACACTACTACGTACTTCGTATATAATATCCCTCTAGAAGGTTACACACACACAAAAAAGAAAAAAAAAAAAATAAAAAATCCATAATTCAAACTCAATTACTCCATTTTTATTGATGTCTGGCTGGAAATTTGGTGAATCCTTGGAGCAGAAGAAGGCAAAGATAGCGAAACTCACAATGACACCTTTGACCACTTCCACTAGATCCATTACTAAGGGCATGTTATCATACGTTTATTTTCAGTTCAATTCAGCTCAGTTCAGTTCAGTTCAGCTTAGTCTAGTTCAATTCAACTCCTAATTTCCTTCTCTTATAAAATATTCATTTCAGTTCAGCTCAACTAAGTTCAATTCAGTTCAGTTCAGTTTAATTTAGTTCAGAGTTCAGCTGAGTTCAGTCTATGAAAACAGACCCTAAGTCTAGACATTTAATTTCCTGTCATCAACAAACATATTATTGTTTAAATCTTCTAGAATTGAACAACTACTAATTACCTTAATTCCTAATTTTATTGCAGATACCTTGGCATGAACTTCCTTCTTCACTACAGTCTACAGCAAGTGTAGGATTTTTTTTTTTTTTTTTTTTTTTTTTTTTTTTTTTTTTAGGATTTTTGCTTAATTTTCTGATGGTTTTAATGGCTACAAACAGCATTTTATATAGCCAATTTTGAAATGTTTAAGGCTAGTTTTTTTTTCCTCCCTGTTACATTCCTTTAGAATTAAATGCAAACCCCCTAAATAGGAATGTCAATTTAATCCAAGTTTGATTCGAATCCGTTTAAAATTAATCGGAATCCGAATCCGATAAAATAGATCTGAATCCGAATAGGAGGTGGATCGGACTTGGACCCTACGCAAAGTTCGATGGAGTCCGATCCGAGTCCGAATCCAAGAGTATGAGCATATGCCTTACAACTTGGGACAATTGTTTGCCTGTTTTGTACCAAAATTTTGTTATGTAACTTAGTTCATAATTTAAATATGTTATATTTATACGTTACTTAGTAGTACAATACCATCAATTATAGGTATATGACATTACAAGAAAAAAAAAATATATTCGGATTATTTTGGAGGTCCGTATAAACGGACCAGATTCGGATCCGAAAATTACAAGTCGGATCGGATTTGGACTCGGATTTTTCAGACTCGGATTCGGATTCGAGTCCAGGGCCCGTTTAGTAAACAGGTCAGATTCGGATTTAGCTACATCCGACCCGAATCCGATTCGTTGTCATTCCTACCTCTAAACTTCAAGTTGCCATTTTGTTGCAATTGAAACTATCCATGTAAGCATGCAGGCCCCTAATCGTTAGCAGAGAATATGTGAAGTCCCTAAACTTTGGCTGACTAAGTGCAAAAAGTCCTTACCAATTTACTTGTGGGGTAGTTGGAGTATTAAAAAATTGTAAAAGAAAGATAGTGGGGTTAATAGTTTATTGAAAAGTAATAAAAAGTAGTAGTTGATTTGGATGAGACCAAGAGAGAGAGATATAATAATTTAATGTAACTTTTTGCCAAAAAAAATGTGTAACACTTAAAAAGATACGGCCAAAGATGAAAAATATAACAATTAAAAAAACACGGAGAAAGTATTACATGTGTCGTTTTCTAAGTGTTACAAATTTTCAGAAGAAACAAACAATATCATATAACGAATGGTACGAACCGTATCACATACCTGGATTGATTCATTTTACTTAAAAGTCTAATTATCCAGCTCATGTTTATGTTTCAACAACACAGCTTTATATTAGTCGTCATAGATCGGGCAAGCCAAATCCTCTATATTTTCAGCCAAGAATTCTATATTCTATCTCCGATTTTTTTTAGTTGCAACTTTAGGATATTATTTTAGAGATATAAAATATTCTAAAGTTGTAACTAAAAAAATTGGAGGTAGGGCTTGTTCACATTTACTGAACTGAACTGAATTGAGCTGAACTGATTGAAGTTGAACTGAACTGATTGGAGTTGAGCTGAACTAAACTGAACTGATTGAAGCTGAACTGAAATTAAGTAAATGTGAACTCACCCGTAATATATAATCTTCTATGTTAGAATTCAAGATGTTTCACCTATAGTATGGATATGATCATCAACGTCATTGTATTATTAAAGTAGAAATAAATTGGGTTTTTATAGAATAATATAGAGAATTGGTTGCATTACCATTTCTTATATACTCAACTCACCGTTATATACTTGATTGTACCAAAGCTAGACTAGTTCTCCTACACGGGCTACACCCAATATATATTATGCTTTAGAAAGGAGATTAAATCACTTAAAAGATGACTATATTCCATAGTACAAACAATTAAAAATCTCTACGTGTAGTTCTTATATGTTTTAATAAGTGTTACATTTTGATTAAACACGTATGTCGAGATACGACTTTGACCATTAATTTATCTAATCAAATGTTAATAAAATTATAGAAAATTTAATATTATAAAAGTATATGTAATAACGAATCCAACAATGTATTATACAATAACATTTGTTTTTTTTATATATATATTAGTAAATTAATCAAGTCAAAACCATTATGTGAATAGTGAAAAAGTCAAAATGTAACATTTATTAAAACATTTGTAGCTATGCCCTAAACCTACAAATATACATCTAAATTTATATTGAGAAAATACAAGTTAAGGTCTGTTTTCATACGTTTATTTTCAATTCAGTTCAGTTTAACTCTTAATTTTCTTCTCTTTTAAAATATTTTTTTAGTTCAGTTCAGCTCTAATAAGTTCAGTTAAGTTAAGGTCAGTTCAGATGAGTTCAGTCAATGAGAACAGACCCTTAGGGCCTGTTCTCTTACGTTGAAATTCAGTTTAGTTCAGTTCAGTTCAACTCAATTCAGTTCAGTTCAACTCAGTTCAGTTCAGCTCCTAATTTCCTTCTCTTATAAAATATTCATTTCAGTTCAGTTCAGCTCAATTCAGTTCGGTTCAACTCAGCTCAATTCAGTTCAGTTCAGCTGAGTTCAGTCAATGAGAACAGACCCTTAATATCCTACGGAGTATATCAACAAAGTTTGTCCTTGTAAAAAAAAAAGTTTGTTAATATCAGTGTATAGATGTCATTTCTACAAACTAATCAGGAATAGTGTTGTAAGTTCCCCAACATTAATCTTCAACCTTTTACTACAATGGAGGTGACTGTGAGTATCCACCACCATACCCACAACCCTTTATCAAGATTTCCCGCCATGCAATTGTACCTTCTTTGTTAAACTCACAAGAAATTTAGGAGAAAACGGCTTAATGAGCCTTTACCATTAAACACATATATATAGGCTTACAACATTAACCTAACATGCCAAAAACTCCTAACAAGATATATACAAATATATTCACAAAATATATATTAATCAACATAATTATATCCTAACACTCCCCCTCAAGTCGGAGCATGTAAATCACGAATGCCCAACTTGTTAAGAAGAAAACCAA